ACTGCACTCCAGTCTGGGCAACAGAGTGAGACTCCAACTCAAAAAAAAAAACAAAAAAAAAATTGGAAACAACCCAAATTTCTAGAAGTGAGGAATTAAGTAAATTGCAGTTAGAATATAACAATGAAAGAAGAGCTGAGCTGCCCTCAGAGCTAGAGGAAAATCAGATATGATGACAGGAACCAAGAGTTAGTGATATTTTGGAAGCCAAGTGAAAGACCATTTTTTCAAAAGAAGCACATAGTTTATGATGTTTTTGAGAGGCCAAGTAAGATCATTTTAAACACGCAGAAATTATTCCCAAAATTTTGACAGATGTTTAATAGAGGAAGCCATACTGGTCCTATTCTCCCATTTGCCACGTTCCCTTTCCTCCTTCCTTGGATGATTTAAAACTTCTAAAGTTAGTATATTCTTATAGTTTGGTGGTGGGAAACTCATGTAACTGGCCAGGCATGGTGGCTCAATCCTGTAATCCCAGCACTTTGGGAAGCCGAGGCAGGAGGATTGCCTGAACCCAGGAATTCAAGACCAGCCTGGGCAACTTGGTGAAACCTAGTCACTTAAAAAAAAAGAAAGAAAGAAAGAAAGAAACTCATGTAATTTTGCAACTACCTCACTGCCAAAAAGTTTCTGCCATTCTAAAACCTCAGTTTAAGTGATAAGGTAACATATAGGATGCTAAATTATTCATTTTAAGGTGTGGCTAAGATGCTTTTTGGTGGTATGCCAAAATATTTTAAATGTTATTTCTAATGTATATCTACCATTTTATATAAATGTGTTTACTGTTTGAGCTTCATATATTATACTGAATTAAAAACCTTTAATTCTGTACTTCCATTAATTTTTTTTAAATGACTAAACAGGTAGATCAAAGCATACAGCTTTTCAGAAACCCTCTGCTGAGGAGGTCAGAGGACAACGTCATGAGCAAGTTCTCGAATGCATAGGGCTTGTCAGAGTTGAGACAACCAGGCAGGGTTGTAAGGTGGGCTGGGTGATGCATTGATTGCACTAATGTGGCCTTGAAAAATGGGTTTTTCTGTAAATTCTACCTAAAAGCTCAGTAATTTCTACTTCTTGGTTACATTAGTAGGTCAGAACTGAGCATTTTTGTGTGGTGAAATGATTATTCTCAGTTGGTTCCAGGCAGTAGAGCATAGGAAGGAAAGGAAGGAGCAGGACTATTACCACCTCATTGTCAAGACACGCCAAGTTCATATGAAAATCTTGGCCAGACTCAGGCATTCAGTCCTCACATTAAAAAGAAGCTTAGTGATGTTCCTCAATGTGTCTGTCTCAAGTCACACTGCTTTGTCCTGAAGTTATTTGCCCTCAACATGTGGTTCATAAATGGCATCCTGAGATTGCTTTTCACCGTTTTTCTGTTGACTTTTTTCTTTTTTTCTTGGTTGGATCTTGTTTTCTCTATCCTTTAACTTCTTCTTTCTTGAATTACTTAATTCAGTTATGGGACAGCTTCCTCTTTTCTGTGGATGTTTTAAAGGAAACAAATCTAACCATGTATTTGGACATAAATTATAAAGCTTAAGATTAGTAAAAATGTTTTTTTATTTCTTACTCATGACTTTTATTATTTTATTTTCTTTGCAAATATATTAAATAACGAGGCTCCAAGGCTCAAAATATCTAGTTACATCTTGAAATCAAATCAGGGTTTTCAGTTACTTTCTAGTTATGCCTTTTTTATTTTAACTTCACATAATTATAGAAATTATTGAAATAGAGATAAAATCTTTTTTGGGGGGAGGGGAGTTGGAGTCTCACTCCGTCGCCCAGACTGGAGTGCAGTGGCACCCTCCCGGCCACTGCAGCCTCTACCCACTGGGCTCCAGCGATCCTTCCGCCTTAGCCTTCCGAGTAGCCAGAATTATAGGCACGCACTACCACGCCCAGCTGATTTTTTTTTTTTTTTAATTGTAGAGATGAGGTCTTGCCAAGTTGTCCAGGCGGGTCTCGAACGCGTGGGCTCAGGCAATCCACTCACCTCAGCCTCCCAAAGCGCTGGGATTACAGGCTGAGCCACTGAGCCTAGCCAGACAGAATCTTATAATTTACATTTTTATGTAACATTTTATCCTGTGCATTTTTCCCTTTTGCTAGTCTGTTTTCATACTTGTGATACTTAGTTTTATATTTAAGTATAGAAGCATGAAGGTACATGGATTCCTTTCATTCATCCACTTATTGTTGACTGCTTATTATATATCAGGCACTGTGCTATACATTAAGGATGCAGTTATGACTGAGGCATAATAATTGTAAAGCTGTAAAATGGTTCTCAATCTTAATCGCATTTTAGACTCTCCTGGAAAACAATCCCAGGCTTCACTCCAACTAATAAAATCTTAAATTTGTTAGAGGTAGGAAACAGTCATTAGTATCTCTTAAAACTCCTTGTGTGATTCCAATGTGTAGCCAAAGTTTAGAATCACTTGTATAGTAGAAGAGTCAAAATTAGTGTTACTTAAATTGTGATAAATGTCATTAAAAAATTAATAATGAATAGCAGATTGTCTTTTCTAGAAATGGCCGCAGCAATATCTTTAGTCTCATGTGCTCTTCCAGAATCTTTCCATGCCCATCAAGAGGTAGAATCTGTTTTCTCTCCTCTTGAACCTTGATGAGCTTGTGACTACTCAAACTAATAGAGAACAGTGGAGACGATGCTATGTGACTTTGAAGGCTAGATCACAAGAAGGAGATAGTTTATTCTGGCTTTGTTTCTTGGGATGTTTGCATTTAAATCCCAGCCTCCATGCTGTGAATAAATTCAGAATACTTGGAGAGGCCAGTGTTAGGCTTGTGGCTGACAGCCCCAGCTAAAGTTTCAGCCAGCAACCAGCATCATCCACCATGCATGTGAGTAAGTGAACTTCAGATTATTCCAGCTCCCAGCCTTCAAGTTCTTCCAGCTGAGGCTCCAATTCACTGTAGAACAGAGATGTCATCCTCACTGTACCTCATGTGAATTACTGGCCCACAGATCCATGAGCTTAATATTTATAAATGATTATTTTATACCACTGAGTTTTCAGATAATTTGCTACGTAGTTATAGTAACTTGAACAGAATATATAAAGGGAGACTTAACCTAGTTTAGAAAGTTAAGAAGGCTTTCCCTAAGTAAAATATAAGCCAAATGTACAAAATGGATCATAGACCAAGATATAAAAGCTAAAATTATAAAATTGTAGGAAAAAATATTAAAGAAAACCTTTGCAGACTTGGAGTGAGCAAAATTTCTTATGATCTAGAAAATCTTAAGCCATAAAAGAAACAATGGATGAATTAGATAACATTGAAATTAAAAACATCTCTCTTAAGACTATTAAATTGAAAAGTCAGACCACAATTGGGAGAAAATAATTGTGTATTATTGGAAAATAATTTCAAATGTTGTATCTGGAATATATATAAAGAACTTTTATAACTTAATAAGGCAACCCAAATTTTTGAAAGCAGGGATGTCAAAAGATTTGAATAGATAACTCATGAAAGAAGACATGCAAATGCAAACAGACAAATGAGAAGATATTCAGCATCGATTGCCAACTGAGAAATGAAAATTACAGTCACCCACTGGAATAGCTGTCATGAAAAGGATGGACAATGCCAATTTCTGTCAAGAATGTGGAAAGACTAGAAATACATGACTTGTAGAAATCAAGAAATAAAACAATAAAGGCATAGAAAGCTTAACTGAATTTAATTCTTTTATTTTAAGCTTATTTCACATAGTCAGCAAGATAGATTGTGTAGAATTGATATAATGGAGTTAAACATTGTATTTGCTCTTTTCTTCTTTTTCAGCTAAAAGAGATGTTTCCAGGCTTTCGATTAGCACTTCCTCCAAAACGCTGGTTTAAAGATAATTACAATACTGACTTTTTAGAAGATAGACAATTAGGATTGCAAGCGTTTCTTCAGAATTTAGTAGCTCACAAGGACATTGCTAACTGGTATGTAACAAATTGAAGTAAGAGTTTTAAAAAGCATTCCAGTAACTAAACTAAAGAATAAATCTAGGATCATAGTTACTTAAGCTCAAAAATACAGAGCGGGAGTATAATTACTTGTCTTTTCTAATAATGCAATTCATGGAATGTTCTTGTTTTCTTTCAATAGGAACTTTATTTGGCATTTCATTTTTATCAAAGCTTATTTTTAAAAGTCAGTCAAGTGAAAAATTCAAGGTACCATGTGCTAAAGCCACCTAACAGTAAATTGGATTTTAGTATTTTCTATTGTAGTTATTTAAACAAAACAGCTCATATATTAGTAGATTTTTGGTTAATAAGACATTATATAATTTTGAGGGTAATCTTTATATTTCTCCAGAGTAATGCAAGAATATGAAAATTGTGAAGTTGTATTATTTAAATAGCAGATAGAGTGAAAATACCAAAAATCATTTAAAAAGAAAGAGAATGGATCTATATGGGGTTTTTTTTGTTGTTGTTGTTGTTTTTTGCTTCTAAATACATTTTCAAGACAATTGCTTAATTATTTGGTTATCAGCTGGGTGTCTAATTTTGGAACTTATATTTTCAGACAAATTAGAATTATTCTGAAAAAAGTAGAGAGCATTTCCAATGCAGCAATAGCATATTATATATACTTTTGCCTGTAATTCTCTTTAGCAGTTTTTCACATGAGAATGAAAAACAGTTAAGAAAACCATCCTATCTAACTTTTTCTACCCTTTTTGCTGGCCTTCTTTTAAGTATGTCACCTTTTTTTCCGGCATAACACACACATGCTATACATAATATACCTACCTAAGCTTGATAGCTTAAGATCCATGCCCATCCCTCCCCACTTATTTTTCTCCTAATGAAGGAACTGCAAGCAAAACTCCATCTCTCTACTCCAGATTCATGTATGCAACTGCCTCCTTTACATCTCCTTCCCATATCTCTACATTACGTCAAACTTAGAACACATTTGAAAGTTTAATCTCCAGACTCCCCACCTTCCAATTTGCAGCATTATCATCTACCCAGAACCTGTGAGTCATTATTGACAAATCTCTCACTACCCTTCTCGCTTCCCTTGCCTTTTAAGTACCACTCATATCTCACCTTTCTCCATCCCTTGCCATCACCAACCTAATCCAAGCAGTTATCCCTAATTATTATAGAAACTTTCCCACCGGTCTTCCTCCTCCACTCTGATTTCTGTAGCTCATTAGAGCCATGGTGATCCTTTGTGATACAGTTTGACTTAAGTCATTCTTTCTGGTCCCTGCCTACCTGCCTGGCTTTTCAACCTTGGATTTTCTTATTCCTCCCCACCATCCATTCTCTGTACATTGCCATATTGATCTTCTTTTAATTCTCCAAAACCACATTGTTCCTTTGTCCCTTAGAGCCTTCAAATATGCTATTTTCTCAGAAGGGACCCTTTTCACCTACTGCCCCATCTAACTCTGGCCTAGGTGATTTGTATGCATCCTGCAGATTTCAGCACAAACTTCACTTCCTTGGGTAACTGGCCTCCAGCTTGACCCCTCACCCACCATCACCAGCACCACCACCAAAGACTAGGTCAGTTCTTTCTCACAGAGTTTGTGTCAGTCCTTCTCAACTCATTCAGAGTCAACTCCTGATGCTTGAAGACACCCACTCTATGTAGTTAACTTCCTCTCTGTACTTCTAGGATGATACTATGTACCAATCTTAAGAGAATTGAGAAAGCAATCACTTAAATTAATATCAGTGGACTTCTACTTGAGAAAGGCTAGTTGATAATTTACTTTCATAACACTTCTGTTTGTAATTATTTCTGTGGTGATTTGTGTTTTTTTCACCAAGTTGTAAGATACATGATAATAGGTTGTGTGGCTGTTTTATTCACCATTCAATGTCCATTGTTTAGCACAGTACTAACACAGTTGGCCCTCGATACATACTTCTTGAGTTAATGACACGACTGTTGATAGTTACTGTTCTGTTGTTTACTAGGAAAAAAGATTGAAGCAAATGTGACAGTGATTATATCGCCTAGGTGGATTGGGAACATTAATGTTCCCTACTTTTCTATATTTGTTTTTACATCTCTCAAAAAAAAAAGATGAGTGTTAATTCAGACATACAAAGCAGGAATAAAAACCAAAAATTATGGAGAAAACCTTTGAAGAAAATATATTTTATATTATACTTTTAGAGAAGATGTTTACCACTAAGAAATCAATATCCCCTTATTCTTGTCCCTTATTTAGTAAACTTTATGTTTCTGTATTAAAAATGTTGTGGTGAGTTAAAATCAAATGTATTCTATAATTGATTGTCCTCTATTTTTATCTAATGAAATATTAAATAATATTAACTACATTAATTGACTCATTTTATGATGTCTTTATTTTTTAAGATGAAAGGGTATCTTACTTGTAATATTCATATACTTTTTTTTAAATTGCTGATAATAGATCTTAGTCGGTAAGGCAGACATTACTAATTTCATTTGAGATCTTGTAGTTTCTAAAACTGCATAGCTCAGAACAGTGGTAATGGTCTTACTCCTTTGATAAATAGACATTTTAAAGAAAGAAAGGTTTCTTGGCCACATAAGTTGGGGGAAGGTTTCGTTTGATATCCCTAGAGGATTAAATGTTCTAAGAAATCTCGCATGAAAGAATCCAGTGTGCCTCATATTTATTTGCCTCCTACTTTTGTCATATCATATCATCAGACATTTAGGGAATGCAGAAAGATAGCTTCAGTTTAACTTTAAATAGGGTACTTATACCTTGGTACTCAATATTTTTTTAATGGGTAGAATTTTTTATTTCACAGTGTAAGAGATTTTTTTAATAATATGTTGTTTAAAATATGATTGGGGTAAGGGGAGAAGGGTTATTCATCTGTATCTTAAGCATTTGTCCTCTATCATGCTAAGAAGGGTGTAAAAGAAGAGAATATATCATCACTGGTCTTGAAATTCATTCAGAGAAATTCAGCTGTTTGCACAAAATAAGGGAGTTTATGAGTTGCTACTGGGTATGATACAGATTATAAAAATAATATATACTCAAAGAAGGAGAACGACCAGTACTGTATGCAGTGATCAAGCAACACTAGAAGTAGGATTTGAGAACCTGAAAGGCATGATTAAGATTATGGGTAGAAGCTGGGCTCAGTGGCTCAGCCTGTAATCCCGCGCCTTTGGGAGGCTGAGGTGAGTGGATTGCCTGAGCCCACGGGTTCAAGACCCGCCTGGGCAGCGAGACCTCATCTCTACAATAAATCAAAAAATCGGCCGGGCATGGTAGTGCATGCCTGTAATTCCGGCTACTCGGAAGGCTGAAGAGGAAGGATTGCCGGAGCCCAGCAGGTCGAGGCTGCGGTGGCCGGGAGCGGCCACTGCACTCCAGTCTGGGCGACAGAGTGAGACTCCAACTCAAAAAAAAAAAAAAAAAAGTTTATGGGTAGGGGGCAACCCCCTTGGGTCCCCTCCCACTGTGGGAGCTTTTCTGGCCTCTTAATAAATCCTACTCTCAAAAAATAAAATAAATAACAATAATAAAAGATTATAGGTAGGAAGATAGATATGAGTCAGAAACAATTATTATATAGAAAGTCAGGTTGTCAAATATTTGTGAGAAAGTCAATCCATTAAAACTGGCATAGTACTTTTTTATATTTTTTGGCTATATTTTCTTATCCCTCAATACTATTCCTTCTGTAAAATAAATGCCTAATTTTCAACATGTCACAGACTGAATTACTGCAATGATTGTGCCATCGTTATTACTGTTACTCTTGTTCTACACAGCCAGGATTTTAACTATATCTGTAGTTTAAATTCAAATAGTAGATGGGTCATAAAGGAGTTCACCAGGCAAGAGCTTGATTGTATTTAAAAATGTAGAATAGTGAAAGAAGTTTCTTTCATTTTGTACAATTAAAAAGAAAAAGAGAAAATCCTTCCTAAGGGAGAGAAAACAAAATTCCAACTTTTTTTTTTTTAAGTTGGGATCTCGCCTGTCATCCAGGCTGGAATGCAGTAGCACAATCACAGCTTACTGCAGCCTCAACCTCCTAGGCTTAGTCAGTCTTCTTGCCTCAGCCTCCTGAGTAGCTGAGACTACTGGCACGTACCACCACGCCCAGCTAAATTTTTTAAATTATTTTTTGTAGAAATGAGGTCTTACTATGTTACTCAGGCTGGTCCCAAACTCCTGGGCTCAAGCAGTCTTCCCGCCTCAGCCTCCCAAAGTGCTGGGATTACAGGTGTGAACCACTGCGCCTGGCCCAACACTTCTTTATGAAAATATAAAACTGCATGTAAGAGTCACTACATTAAGCATCAATTAGTTGTCCATTACCTGTTGGGATACCTGTTAGCATTCTTTCTTGTACAGTTGGAATGGCAGCATAGAAAAAAATCATTTAAATTTAAAAATTCTTGAGATGGCTAAATAATTTTTTGGCATTAATTGTTTATACTTTAATATTAATTATTCTTTCACTTTCTGCTTATATCCTTAGCACCTTACAACACAGTTATTTCTTAACTTTCATGTTGGCTAAGAGCATGGCTTTACACAATGGGCAGCTCTTAATGTTACTTTACCAACTGTAACAAAAAGAAGTGGAAGAAAATAAGAACTGACTGTTAATTTGAATGTTTTAAGAAAATATTGTTTTCAGACACATTTAGAAAGTACAAAGTAAGGGTACAGATAAAAACATTAACATTTCTGGGCCAGGCAAAGTGGCTTATCTTCTAAAGAAGAAAAAACTTCTGACTAGTAGAATTAGAGAAGGCTTCCCAGAGGATGATATTTGAGTTGCACTGTAAAGAATTAGTGATATCTGGATGAGGGGGAATAAAAAAAGATGAGGAAGGACTTTATAGAGGAGAAGGAATATCATAACCAGAATGCAGAAGCAAGAAGGTACAGGTCCTTTATTAGAAACAACCTGCAACTCAGTTTGTCAAGGTGAAGGATATATAAAGATAGTCTTATATTGAACAGTCTGTCATAGTTAAAATATAGCTATTTATTGTTTTACACTGTCTTAAGCCACTTTGAAATCTTTACATCATAAATCACAGCAAACATTTTTCTATTCTCTATTTTCAGAAGCACTTGTCATATATCCTATGTATCAATTTTTTTCTTTTTTAATTCTTCATAATACAGAGGTTAAAGTTTTTTGTTGTGCTTTTGTTTTTGTTTTTCTACATTGCCATCCACCTATACGGGCTACAGTACCAAAATATAGTATTTTAAATTTTACATTTTTTTAAAGTTTAGGATGGCTCTGTATTAACAAGTTATCTGGTCCCCAGTGACTTTTTTCTTTACTCAAAGATAAAGAAAATATTAAAAGGAAGACACTTGATGACATTCAGGTCATCAAGGGTAATATGACAGCAACTCTGATGGCCATTCCAGAAAAAGTTCCAAAATTGCTTTGACCGGTAGACTAGTTGCTTGCATTAGTGCATAGCTTCTCTAGGGGAGTACTTCAAAGGTGACCGTAGTGATATTCAGAAATGAGGTAACACTTTTCTAGGATGAGTTTGTGAATTTTATGGCTTTTAAAAAATAGTATCCAAAACATTTATTTGAGGGAAAAAATGGAAAGAAATGAGGCTACTTATCCTTTAAAAAGCAAAAAATTACTTGGAGGATGTGATAACTATTTTCACATATTTGAAAGATGGTGATGGGAAGCAGGATTAGTCAAATGTTTAATAAGAGTAGTGCTTCTCCAACTGTGGTGTGCCTGTGAATCACTTGGGGATCTTGTTAATGCAGACTATGATTCAGCAGGTCTAGGCTGATGATTCTGCATTTCTAACAGGTTTCTGGAAGCTGATCTAGAGACTTCATTTTGAATAGTAAGACTAAAACACAGAACAGAATGCTAATGAGAAGCTAGAGGAAGGCACTATTGGGTCAGATAAAAAAGTTACCCATCATTTCAAATTGTCCAATATAAAAATGTTCTGCCTTTTGAAAAAGTGGGCTTCTCTTTGAGTATTTGAAATAGGTATATTACTGTCAATGGTGGGAAAAGGAGAATTGTTAAATGGAATAACTTTGATTAGATGGCTGTGTAGTTCTCTAAATGAACTAAAGCATAACACAAAGGGATTTAAAGGTAGAAAAGGGCACATATTTACACTCAGAGGACAGATGGAAGGTCTAGATCTAACACTTGTACTTTTTTACATTGGGCAGGTCATTTTACCTTTCTGAACTTTGGTATCATTTGTAAAATAAAGATATAATGCCTATTCTGACCTCACTTGAGTGTTGTGAAAATTAAATACAACAGAGTATATGAAAGCCCTGTGTGTGCAACATGCTATGAAAATGTTTGCATATTAGTATTGCTTTTGGAGATACAAGGTTGAAGAAAGTAGAGTAGCATTTTTGACATATATTTAGAGTTATTGTGTGAAAGAGAACTTAGATTTACTCTGACCCCAAAAAAGCAGAACAAAGACTTACAAATAGAAGCTACAGGGGGTAAAAAAAAATCAGTTAAATAAATGAATTCCTAGTTTCAGCATTATTCAAACACAGAATGGTTTATTTCAAGAGATAAAATGTCCCCTCTCTGGCAGTGTTTAGGGCATACTCTTGGTTGAACGTGTAACAGAAATAAGAAGTATCCTATGAATGGTTTGAATAGATCACATTTAAGATCCCTTCCATCTCTATTATTTCATGATATGAAATAATAAGTCTTTTCTCAGTTTACCTGAATATGTGACCTTTTCCCCAAATGTTTGTTCTTTTTACCTTTATTCTCAAAATAGAAAGTTGCTCCTCTGGGTGCCACACCACTACCAACTTTTTTGTTCTATGTTTGGGACCTTCTAGATTATTTTCTTAATACTACTTATATGTATTAACTCATTGGTTTTTCTTTTGGAAAGATACTAAAAATCTCATTTATCTCTTCATGAGCATCCCCTGTCATCATCAACCAAACCAATATGGCCTAATCTGAATCCAAGAGCCCATTCCCATTTCAGCATAAATTGATTTCTCCTTTATGTGGTATATCAAGATATCATATGAGGTCCAACAACTAGGTTTGTAAACCATTCTAGAAAAAGTGCTACATACCTCCTTCCTAAATATCACTACAGTCACCTTTAAAGTACTCCCCTTAGGAACTATGCACCAACATCAGTGCCTAGTCCACCCATCAACTCAATTTTGGAACTCTTTCTGGAATGGCCATCAGAGCTGTCACTATCTGCTGAGGTGTGACAATTAAGTTCACAAACTTGCCACTGTGTGCTTTCATTGGCAGTACTATACAAATAACTGTATTAGAACACCCTCCCTACTCAAGTGATCTGCTCCCCAGTGACTTTTTTCTTTACCCAAAGATAAAATATTAAAAGGAAGACACTTGATGACATTCAGGACATCAATGGTAATATGACAACTCTGATGGCCATTCCAGAAAAAGTTCCAAAATTGCTTTGGCCGGTGGACTAGTTGCTTACATTAGTGTGTAGCTTCCCTGGGGGAGTACTTCAAAGGTGACCATAGTAATATTCAGCAATGAGGCAGCACTTTTCTAGGATGAGTTTGTGAACTTAATTGTCAGACCTATTAATCCTTTTACAAATGAAAAATAAATGTAAGCCTCCACATTTATATTTTGATGTGTACATAAAGTCGTCTCTCTGTCCAAAATTGCTTTTCAGAAAAGGGAGAAGGCATTTTTGTTATATGGATGTTTAGTTTCCTACATTCTTAACCTATTTTTGATCACTGCAAAGTGTAAACAATATTATATAAATATTTGGTAATTTAGAAATGGAATGATCAGAATTTTTTCTCTTAAACTATCTGAGGAAGATATTTAAATAAGTTAATATAATAAACATGATTGCGACATCAGACTTTAATAAAGATTAAATGCTTTTCAGTTACTTGAGAAGTGTCTACTGAAAGAAAGGTGAAGTATAAATTGGAAATTGCATTTATTCATAACAGTGTAATGACTTGTTAGACCAGTTCAGACTAATATTTCTTTGAAAGTCATAAAGAAGCTATTCATTGTTTAGGTTGGTCTCTTGAACCATCATTTTGAATTGTTTAATGTCCTGTAATTTATATTTAACAATACATATCTCTGTATTTGTAAGATCTTAAAAATAGCTTAAAATCTGTGTTATCTTCTGTAGTTTAGTATTTATATTTGGTTACTTATATGAAAACTTATGAACCAACTTGCTTACTTTGGTATATCAGTGACACCAACTTGCTTAAAACTCTGTATAACTTCAAAGTAACTTCTGCTTTTTGCTATCTTTTGTAACTTATTTGTACTCTAGATAATGTTTTTTTGTTTATTTTCTTTTCTTTTCTTTGAAAAGCCTTGCAGTGAGAGAATTTCTTTGTCTGGATGACCCACCAGGTCCATTTGATAGCTTAGAAGAAAGCAGGGTAAGTGTTGTATTATATATCACACGAAAAGAGGAACAAATAATGCAGTACAATAACTACATTGTTTCTTGAATGGAATAGCAAACAGCAAAATATTATAATTTCAGGCCTTGGTAGTTTTGCACAGAAAACTTTTAATGTTTGAGTCAATGGTTTCTTTCACTGAAATACATGGACTTAGTTCAGTGAAAAAATACAAATTCATACATGTCATGTAGTCAATAATGCTCTAAAATCTGTAGTCTTTATTTTTACTGTTTCAAAAAATACAAAATGATTTGAGAATCTATTTTTATTACATTTAATAGTACTATTTGTATGCTGAGGTTTTTCCCATCTAAGTGTTAAAGTAAGGAACCTACATCTAAAATCAAATTTAAAACTTCAGAGATAGAAGTGATTGTCTTGTTATCAATTCAGCTCATGCTTCTTGCTACTCAAATTACATTAATTGACGTGTTAGAGTGACCTATTTTCTGGAAGCAATAGGCTAGATTCGCAAAACAGATATGGTAATAATAGATTAGCTAGGATTTAATGCAAGTTTTTCCCCAAATGTTTAGTGGTGTTTAAATGGAACAGTTTTAATTGGTAGGTTTGTAATGTTTTTCAGTCAAACTGAGTCAGTTCTTTGTGCTGGAATGAATGCTATAGCCTTTTTTAAACAGCCTTATCGAAGTAAAAAGTTTTTAATCCATAATATTCACCTATTTGTTGTTTGTTGTTCCATTGTAAGTGTACAATTTAATAACTTAAAGTAAATTTATAGAGCTGTGCCACCATTATAATAACTCAGATTTAGAATATTTTTATCACTTCAAAAAAAATTCCTACAAGCCTTTTTGCTGTTAGTCTGCCCTTCCAGCACAAGACAAGTACTGATGTGCTTTCAGTGTTTGCACATTTGCCTTTTCTGGATATTCCATATAAATAAAATCATGTGCGTGCGTGCGTGTGTGTGTGTGTGTGTGTGTGTGTGTGTGTGTGTGGTGTATAATGTATATAACACTTTATATACATGGAGTATGCATTATATATGGTATATTAGACAATGTATATACACATTTGTGTCTGGCTTCTTTCACTTAGCATTTTTTTGAGATTATTCCATGTTATAGCCTCTGTCGTTACTTCATTACTTTTTATTACTGAATGGTTTTCCATTGTACGCATATATTATATTTTATTTATCCAGTCACCAGTTGAGGGATATTTGGACTGTTTCTAGGCTTATATTATGAGTAATGCTATGAACAATTTCATATAACATTTTATGTGAACATATGTTTTTATTTATCTTGGGCTGATCCCTAGAGGTAGAATTGTTTAGTCATATAACAAGTTTATGTTTAACTTTTTTGTGTGTTTTTTTGTTTTGTTTTTTTTGAGTTGGAGTTTCATTCTGTCACCTAAGGCTGGAGTACAGCGGCATGCTCCCGGCCACCGCAGCCTCGACCTTGTGGCTCAGGAGATCGTTCCACTTCAGCCTTCCTAGTAGCCAGAGCTACAGCCGTGCATTATCACACCCAGCTAATTTTTTTTTTTTTTTAATTGTAGAGATGAGGTCTCACCATGTTGCCCAGGCTGGTCTCAAACCCATGGGCTCAGGTAGTCCTCTCGCTTTGGCCTCCCAAAGTGCTGGGACTGTAGGTTTGAACCACCGCGCCTGGCCTATTTAGCTTTTTAAAGAAACTAATAAACTGTTTTCTAAAGTGGCTAATAACTAATAAACTGTTTTCTGAAGTGTTACATTCCCACTAGTACTGTAAGAGAGTTCCAGTTTCTCCGTGTCTCACAAACATTTGACATTATCTATCTTTTGGATTATAGCCAGTCTCATGGGTATATAGTGATATTTCATTATAGTTTTAATGTTCATTTCTCTAATGATTTTTTGATATAGATCTTGTCTTGTGCTTTTTAGCCACTCATATGTTTTCTTCAATGAAATGTCTGTTCAAGTCTTGCTCATTTGTTAAATTGGGCTCTTTGTCTTATTGAGTTATAAAAGTTCTGTATTTTGGATACAAGTCCTTTATCAGATATACTATTTGCAGTTATTTTCTTCTGTATGTATCTTTTCTTTTCTTTTAGTTTTTTTTTTTGAGTTGGAGTCTCACTCTGTCGCCCAGACTGGAGTGCAGTGGCCGCTCCCGGCCACCGCAGCCTCAACCTGCTGGGCTCCAGCGATCCTTCCGCCTCAGCCTTCCAAGTAGCCGGAATTACAGGCATGCACTACCACGCCCGGCTGATTTTTTTGATTTATTGTAGAGATGAGGTCTCGCTGCCCAGGCGGGTCTCGAACCCGTGGGCTCAGGCAATCCACTCACCTCAGCCTCCCAAAGGCGCGGGATTACAGGCTGAGCCACCGAGCCCAGCTTGTATGTATCTTTTCATCTTCTTAGTGGTGTTTTTTGAAATTCAGAAGTTCTTAATTTCAATGAAGTTCATTTGATCACTTTTTTATGGCTTATGCTTTTAGTATTGTATCCTAAAAACTCAGCCTAACCCAAGACCACAAAGATTTTCTTATACTTCTTTTTTTCTAGTTTTATAGTTTTAACTCTTACATTTAGGTTTATGATTCATTTTGAGTTAACTGTTTTTCAAGGTGAAAGGTAAAGGATTTTATGTGTCTATAGATATCTTAAGTTGTTTTTAGTTTGTCTTGACACCTTTGTCAGAAATCAAAGGACCATAAAATGAAGTGTTTGTTTCTGGATTCTTAATTCTAACCCATTGATGTATTTACCTGTCCTTATTCCAATATGATACTGTATTGTTTACTGTTGCTTTCAATTTGTGTCTTTCAATCTAAGGTTCATCCCTTGCACATAACATGTAATTGGGTCTTAGTCTTTTATTCATTCTGACATCTGTCTTTTACATCTATCATTTTGAAATTTGTTTTCTATTTGTTTCATATGTTTCCATCCTCTTCCTCCTTTTCAGCCTATTATTGTGTGAAAAAATATTTTTTTAGCATGCCAATTTTATTCCTCTGTAGAATATTTAAAATTTTTTCTTAGTTATTTTTTAGTGGTTGCTTTAGCTATTACATTATGCATTTTATTACTTCTACTTCAGAATAATTATACTTAATTCCAGTGAAATGTAAATTTAGCTCCAATATAGCTCCTTTCCACCCCTTTCTTTGTGTTGCTGTTATTATGTATTTTACAGATATATGTGTTATAAACTCAACAATACAGTGTAATAATTATTCTTTATACAATCTTGTTTCTTTAAAGAACTTAAGAGAAGAAATGAGAAAAAAACATCTCATACTCTTTTATTTATCCACATATTTACTAATTCTGGCCCTATTCATTTCTTCCTATGAATTGGTATTCTCATATGATATTTGCTTTCTTTCAATCTCAAGGTCTTCATTTAGTCTTTCTCATCTTTGGCAACAAATTTGACAGTCTTAGCTTACCTGGAAATGTTCATTTTTAAAAGATAGTTTTGCTAATGGGATTTTTTCTTCCAGTACTTTGTGTCATTTCAACTGCCTTCTGTCTTCTATTTTTTCTGATTAAAAAAATCTACCTTTAATTATATTGTTGTTTCCATGTACATGATAAGTCATTTTGCCCTTGCTTCATTCAAGATCTATCTTTGACCTTTAGCAGTTTGATTATGATGTACTGAGATGTGAATTCCTTTGTGTTTTTCATACTTAGGCTTTATTGAGCTTCTTGGACTTGGCACATTAATGATCCACATCAAACTTGGGAAGTTTTTAACCATTGTTTCTTCAAATATTTTTTTCAGTTCTGTTCTCTCTCCCTTCTCCCTCTGGAACTACCATTACTTGTATAGTTGTGTATTTCACGATGTACCACACATTTCTGAAGTTTTGTTTATCTTTCTTCAATTATTTTTTCTCTGTTCTTTAGATTGAAAAATGTCTGTTGATGATCAAATTCTTTTTTTTTTTTTTTTTTTTGAGTTGGAGTCTCACTCTGTCGCCCAAACTGGAGTGCAGTGGCCACTCCCGGCCACTGCAGCCTCGACCTGCTGGGCTCCGGCAATCCTTCCGCCTCAGCCTTTCAAGTAGCCGGAATTACAGGCATGCGCTACCACGCCCGGCTGATTTTTTGATTTATTGTATAGATGAGGTCTCGCTGCCCAGGCAGGTCTCGAACCCACAGGCTCAGGCAATCCACTCACCTCAGCCTCCCAAAGGTGCGGGATTATAGGCTGAGCCTCCGAGACATTTTTCTATCATATCAAATCTGTTCTTGAGCTCCTCTTTTTAATTTTTCCTTCCTGTTATTGTGCTTTTCAACTCCAAACTTCTCATTTGCTTATTTTTTACCATTCTTTCTCTTTATTGAGATTTTCTATTTGTTGAGTCATTGTCATCATCCTTACTATAATTAAATGTTTTCTAGTTCATTTGATGAATATAATAGCTGCTTTAAAAATCATTGTCTGATATATGTGGGACCATTTACAGATAATTTCTATTGACTGCCTTTTGTCCTGAGTATGCTTAGAATTACCTTGTTTCTTTGCATATCTCATAATTTTTTCTTGAATATTAGACCTTTTAGGTAAATATATCAATGCTTAATTCTTATTTCTGCCTCCTAGAGTGGTTGTTACTATTTTTATTTTGTCTGTTTGTTTAGTAACTTGACTAGACTAAATCTGTGAAGTTTGTTTCCCAGAATATGTGGTCACTGATGTCTCTCTTATAATGGATTTGTATGTGGTCTGAAGAGTACATTTACAATTAAGGTTATTTTGAAGTTTGCCACAGTTTTTAGTTTCTACCAGGTCTTCTCCCATCTTCTCTGTACATGCATGTGGTCTCTGTCATCATGGGTGGTTTTGGGTACTAAGATACGTGGCGAGCTTATCAAGGCCCCATAGATATATCATTTCTGAGAACTCTCTATTAAATCCTGACTATATTATTGCTTGTTACCGAGACTGCCACTTTAACTGATAACACTTCAAATCAGTGAGCCCCTCTGACAGTAGCAGCA